TCCAACCCCTGACATTCTGTGATTTTGTGAATTATCTGCAAACATATGATACGTGCATCCTGGTTTTGTAAATTCTGCTGACATATATGCAGGTTATGTGTTGCCCAAGTATTGTTTTGGTATTTGATGGTCTGGTTTATCCGAAGTCATATATGATAACTAACTGATCAGAGATTCTTTGCCAAAACAAAAAAAAAGTTCTCAATTTCATCTGGGTAGCTTCTAGTTTTAGTTAAAACCATTTTATTCTAATTTCTGCTAAGCATATTAATGCTTAGCTCTCTCTGCAAACTGTCAGAGACGAGAAATTACTTTGTGGTTGAATTTCCAGAGTCAGGGTGGGTGTTGCCCTCAAGCCTCTGTGCTGATTCTTCAGCCTTCCAGAATCTGAGGTGTCTGTGCGACTTTGGAGCGCCTGGAAAAGTTATTGTAGGGGTCATCGATAAGAGCTTGGTTAAATAAGCTTATATGTTAATACAGTTTAGAATTCATGCAGAGTCACAGAATTTACCGGAGCAGAGGCTGTTGGAAGGAGCCTGCGGAAGTCCTGTGGTCAGTTGCTCTTCCTCAGAGCAGGGCCAGTGAAAGCAACTTGCTCAGGGCTGTGCCCATTGGGGTTTTGGCCATCTCCAGGGCTGGATACTCCACAACACGTTCTGGCAACCTCTTCCAGTGTTTACTCCCCCTTGCAACATACTTTTTTTTTCTTACATTAAAACAGAGTTTATTTTATTTCAGTTTGTGGACATTGTTGCTTGTCCTGTCACAAAATACCACTGAGAATCTTGAATCTTGTTGGGGGTTTTCAGTGCTTGAGAGATTTAATTTGGGCACACACTTTTACCCACAGTTTTCTTTGAGGTACTTTTTATTTCTTTATTTCACATAGAATGAATTTTTGAGACCTATGTTTTCTTCTCTCACGCAGGTATGTGATACAGAAAATGAGGAACTGCTAAATGAGAGTAAGTGGGATGAATCATCAACAGTATTTTAGAACTCGTACCAGGGCTTCAGATACTGTCGGTGACTGATCCCACTCACTCTCATTTAACAGTTCCCCATTCTTCGCTCTCCTTTCACAGCTCCTCTACTTGATCCTCCAATAAAATTTCAAAACTTGAAATAATTGTCATGACCAGCAATTTATATGGAGCATGGACAGGATGGTGATAGCTGGAGCAGACCCATTTAGCCAGTATTTCAACTTTTAGAATGCCATTTTTAGTTTTCAGTCATTAACTTTTTGACTTCTATGAATTGTGGAATGTTCCTCCATTATTTAGATTGTTCCATCTCTAAGGAAAAAAAGTCAATTAGGAGGAGTCAAGAAGGAAATAATTTGTTGGCTAAGATTTTTAAATAGAATCATAGAATCGTAGAATGGACTAGGCTGGAAATAACCTATGCTCTAGACTTTCATAGTAAAAGAGAGATGTTGGAATTTTCTGTTTCCCTTCCATGAATTAATGAAAAATTGTTTCCTCTGACAGAGCATCAGAGGAACTAGTGTGGAGGTTGTTTTTACCAAAAGTGAAAGCAGCCTGCAGCGGTGATAGTGCTGCATCCAGTGTGATCTTTCCTTTCCAAGCCACTGATCTCATTACTGAGATGCTTTTTTCCTTGTCATGTATATAAAATTATTGACTTAAATTTCTTGGTAGCAGGTAACAGCTGCAGGACTTATTGATTGCAGTTGTGTGCTATTTTCTTTCAAGTGGCAAGAATAGATATCAAAAGAGACCAAAATATGAATAAATGAACAAAATTTTCTATTCAGCTAGAATAATATAGGATGGAAAGTTTATTTTTGCAACTTGAAGGACTGGAGTATGCCTGCCAAACTTAAGGAAACAAAATGCAGACATTTTGCTTAAGCAGAAAACAAAGGAAAATGATTGCTGGGAACAAATTCTGTAAGAAAGCGAAAAGTGATTTAATTTGATGCAAGTGACACAGTTTTTAATATTATTAAATGGTTAGAGTAGATGAATCCAAGAAATTAGCCTTGCTTTATTAAGAAGGGAAGCTTGGTGGGTGGGCGCAAAACCTGACCCTGATCTAGTTGATGTGTATTTCTGTTTACCCATATAATAACTCTGGGGTTTATCAGCCTCTGCAGGCATTTTTTGGATGTCCTGTAAAAAGAATAAGATACTTGCAGTGTAGAGGAGCATATAGGAAAAAAGATAGATATTCACATTTTGTCTGAATAAGCATCAAGTGAATTGTTGCTAAACTTGGTTTACTAACTATGGCAGAGAAATAAGCAAATCTGACCATTTGAGGCAGAGGTCAGATGGTCAGAGGGCTGGAGCAGCTCTCCTACGAGGACACGTTTGTTCAGCCTGGAAAAGAGGTGACTCTGGTGACTTACAGTGGTACCTGAAGGGGGCCTATAAGAAGGCAGAGAAGAGACTTTTTACAAGGGCCTGGATTCATAGGACAAGGGGTAATGGGTGGAAACTGGAAGAGCCTAGGTTCAGGCTAGATATAAGGAGGAAGTTCTTTACCCTGAGGGTTGTGAGGCACTGGAAGAGGTTGCCCAGGGATCTTGTGGATGCCCCATCCCTGGAAGTGTTCAAGGCCAGGTTGGATGGAGCATTGAACGACCTGATCTAGTGGGAGGTGTCCCTGCCATGGCGGGGGGGGTGGAACTGGATGATCTTTGAGGTCCCTTCCAACCCAAATCATTCCATGGTTCTCTGGTTCTGTGAAATCAATTAAAACTTAATTAAATGAGTTGCCTCGTGGTGCCAGGTCCTGCACTTGCTTCACAACAACCCCCAGCAACCCTACAGGCTTGGGGAGGAGTGGCTGGAGAGCTGCCAGGCAGAGAGGGATGTGGGGGTGTTGATGGACAGCCGGCTGAACATGAGCCAGCAGTGTGCCCAGGTGGCCAAGAAGGCCAAAGGCATCCTGGCCTGGATCAGGAATAGTGTGGGCAGTAGAACCAGGGAAGTGATTTTACCCCTGTTCAGGGCACTGGTGAGGCCGCATCTTGAGTACTTTGTCTGGTTTTGAACCCCTCAGTATGCCCAAAGAAGGGTAACGAAGCTGGTGAAGAGCACGTGTGTTGTGAGGAACGGCTGAGGGGAACTGGGGTTGTTCAGTCTGGAGGATTCTGAGGGGAGACTTTATCGCTCTCTGCAATGCCCTGAAAGGAGGCTGTAGCAAAGCAGTGTTGGGCTCTTCTCCCAGGTAACAAGCAATAGGACAAGAGGGAATGGCTTCAGGTTATGCCGGGGGAGGTTTAGGTTCGCCATTAGGAAAAAATTCTCAATGGAAAGGGTTGTCAAGCACTGGCACAGGCTGCCCAGGGCAGTGGTGCAGTCCCCATCCCTGGAAGTGTTTAGCAGACATGTCGATGTGGTGCTTAGGGACATGGTTCAGCGCTGAACCTGGCATTACTAGGTTAACAGTTGGACTCGATAATCCTAAAGGTCTTTTTCAGTATAAACAACTCAGTGATTCTATGCTCACAACTGAGAAATTTGTTAACATTAAGAATAATTGTGTTTATTAGTGGAAACTCTGCTATTTATAATTTAAAATGCAATATGAAGAGGAAGCAACATCTTGCCTGAGAATCCTTAATATTTTTAATAGTGGGAATTTTCAGGCTGGTTTGTGTGTCACTAGATGGTGCTGTTGCCTTGAGGGAAGGAAAAAGTTCGAATGCATTTGACTTCCCCGTCTTTCACTGGGGGATAAATTCAGTAAAATAGAGGCTGAAGACTTAATGCATTTTTTGTTACATTGAAAAGATAGGTAATTCAAGGTGTTTATACTGTTGTATAGTTTTCCTTTTGTATATTTTTTTTTTCAAAATTAATAATTCTGATCTTAGCATGGTAATAGCTAATTTGAATTAGAATTGTGATCTCTTGACACTGCTCTCAGATTTGAGGTAGGGTAACCTGGATATGCTTTTTGCGCTTGATGGTGTGAATCCACTAAAAGCACAATTATAGAATTTGATTGTATCGTTATGTGTTCTGATAAGCATTTTGAGCAGTCACAAAAAAATACTTTGAATCTATCTGTGTTAGATATATTTAAGTTGCATTAAGGTAGTGCTTTTGAGTTGAGATAAACTGAAGTATCCTATACTCTTGTTGCTAATAATTTGCAGAAAGAATGTAATAGATTGCTTTTTAGGCTTGTGTGCCTTACATGATCCGGGCTGCCTTAATGGGAAGGGAAATAATTCTTTAATATTACTGATAAAGGTAGAAGGATTCAAAGCCACACCTGGGAAAATAAAGCATGTTTGTTAAAACTACTTGCAAATGATTATCTCGTTTTCTTGTCTTGCCTAGGTGTCCATTGCACACATGGTTTCAATAGAACTGGCTTTCTGATCTGTGCCTTTTTGGTCGAGAAGCTGGACTGGAGGTAACTTTGAATGTTTATTCAGTGTGTTTCGCTCATTGTCCTAACAGCAGCTATCCTAATGTATTCACTGTTTGTTATTTTAAAATTGCATACTAATCTTGAACAAACAAGTTATATTAACATTATTCGTATCATCCCTTGGTAGCTAAGCCTGTTTCAGTCAAGCTTTCTAGGTCTGGTAGGTCAAAAGTCAGCCGTACCTGCTATGTGTGGGCTTTTAGGAGTGTATATATGGTATTGTGTCTCTTTCCTATGACATGTCCCACATTTTGAGTAAGAACACAGAGTTCAGAGATGCCTGAAAGATTATTTTTGACTTTATCATCTTTTTCATGTAGATTTGCGTGTCGACTTTTTTGATTTTTGTTTTTTTTAAATTCTTTTTTTGTTGAGTTCTGAAGAGATCAGCTAGAGCAACAGCAGAATGACATACCTGCTTCTGAGGAATTGGAGGGAGACAAAGTCCTTATTTCCGACTTGTTATTTGACTAAAGTCTACAGCATGCTTTTATATGGACTCGCCTGGGTGTTCAGTTTTTTTGTGATTTAAGAATGTTGGTGCCTTCGTAAAGACTTTTTCAAATAGCATTAAGTGTAAAAAAAATTTGCTTATACTATGCTGGTGGATGTGACTTTTGCATGTTTGGTAGTATTCACAACACAATGTTTTGTCCCTTTCGGGTTCCTGTGCAATGCACATTTCTTAACAAGCCCCTGAAGCATTCTAATATTTATTGTGTGGTCCTTGAGGTGAGGAGAATTCTGCTGCTGTTGCAGCAGTGTCTTATGACTGGACATACAGTTGTTTGGTGCTTAGCATGTATGTGCAGGCTGGTTGTAAAGAACTAGGTCGTTGTAGTCTGTCAGTAAACTTGGATTGAAGACATTGGAGTAATGGAGAGAGAACACCATTCACAGTGGCTGGCTGAATCTTGGCAGAGTTTAGCTGAGTATAGGAAGTAGACAGAGATACAGATTACCTTTCTGGTATTATTCTAGTTGTTCTTATTAACCAGTGAATTTGTATGCTTTTAATCTTAACAATTTAAAAGCGGCATGCAATAATTAAATTCAGAATTGGTCCTTTGTTTTGAAGAGGAAATGTACTGGAACCTGTTTGAAACTCCTGCTTTTATGCAGCCTTTCTTTATTTTCAGACCTCTGTGGGAAAAGCCTTAAAACTTAACAGCCGTGTCTCTGGTTTGTGGTTTTTTTTTTTTTTCATTCAGGTAGTTGTGTCAAGTTTGTTCATCTCTGTATGAATTTTTTTTAACAGAACACCCAGATGTCACCTGGTAGGGAAGAATGTTCACAGCCAAAGAATGAGTTTTGACAAGATGGTAGTTAATGCTACGCATGTATCAAGAGAAATCCAATTTGCCATATCATTCCTTAAATAAGGCACTGTTACTTGCTGATGAGGAAATAAGATTTTCCTAATGGAAGAAATCCATCTGTATTAATTCCTTAAGCATATGATATAGGAGTGCTAATGATGTATTGTGAACAGAGATATATTTTACAGTTAGTTTAGAGAAAGGTCACCTGGACTGAAAGCTCTCCAGCTAGTGGTCAGAAAACTTACTTCATTTATTTTTCCACAACTTATTTTTCTGAAAGACTTGCTGTGTTTCTAGAACTTGGAAAATATGGTTGCTTTCAACTAGGTTTCTGGGCTTGAAATCTCTGCTGCCTCTTCTGGCTTCCATTGCTGTCTATTCTGGAATAGTTCTCCTAATGTCATCAGAGACAAATCTGAGCATCTTTCAGGCCACATCCCTTTTTGTTTGTTTTGACCTTTCGGTGGCATTGACTACAGAAGACGTGAAACAATCTGGTAAAGATACCAAAGTAAAAAATGTCTTGTGAGGAAGAAATTAGGAGTCTTGGAAAACATAATGGAAAAGAAAGCTTCTTCTAAATACCTCAGATTCTTAAACTGTCCTTTCTGAGATCTGATGACTAAACATCTGATAGTCTCACTCTGGAAAGTGTTTTGTTTTCTCCTCTTAGCAAAGATAGGAAGAGCAATCTGAATTTACAGGCTCTTAGAAAGTGTTTCTGTCTGTTCTGGGAAATTTGCCTCATGAATTTCTCAAGCTCCTTCCCATATTGTACAGATCAAACAAAATATGGTTTTTGTATTTAAGTTCTTTATTCTATTTTAGCTTTGTTTTCCTTGTTCCAGTGGCAGGCTATTTTCTTACCTGAAAAAATTATTTTCAGGGCCTATAATGTGTGCCTTTGTTCCAGCTAAGATACACGCTTATCAAGAAGCCTAAAAGGGGCATTCACTTTTTGTGATTTCTCCTCTCTTATTTAGGAAGATTTCTAAATATTGATCCATGAAGCATTACTGCTTCACACAGCCGTGATAAATTGAAGACAAAATTGTGTCCAGCGTTTTCTGTTAAGCATTTTTATAGGGTCTGTGAAAATAGCAACAGTAAAACCCTTCACTGTTTAATATTTTGGAGTGCTTTCCAGTTGGCTAGTAAAGGTGCATGACAGTTAGTTTTGATTTCTAATCTTTTTGTGACCTAGTCTCCAGTTTTAATGAAGCACTTAAATGTTAGCTGCATAATAAAAGACTTCAGAATTACTTTTTTTTTTTAATATAAGAAACCTCTGGAAAGAGAAATGATTTCGAAAGATTAGGGTGCTTTTTCCCAGTGTGATGGCAAAACCTGTAATGAAAGGAAAGATAATTCTTAGAGGGAGAAATACGGCTGTATTTGAATTTTAACACTCGCATTTTTCATTAAGTTTGTTCATCATTTTCTGTGGTCTTTTTTGCCTTTATTCAGTCCTTAAGCACTTACCTGTGTGTCACCCATAAAAGTTTTACTATTAGCCACAATAAAGCTAAGATGAAGCAGCGTGAGCTGCAGTTACTTCTCAGAACACACGCAGTGCCTACGTAACTATGCAGAACCTTGTGCAAAGGCAACTGAAAAAGCCAGGCTGAACTAAGCATGATATTTCAAATATAATGAATGTGTTTGCAATTACTGGTTTGGAATTTGTTTTAATTCTGAGTCCAAATAAATCTCAACATTTTATAAGGCATAACATGACTAAAACACGTGAATGAAGCATCCAGAATGATATTCAATTTTTATTTGACAGTATTGAGGCTGCTGTGGCTACTTTTGCTCAGGCTAGACCACCAGGTATTTATAAAGGTGACTATTTGAAGGAATTATTTCGTCGCTATGGAGATGAAGATGATGCACCATCACCACCTGAGCTACCAGAATGGTGCTTTGATGAAGACGAAGAGGAGGACGATGATAATGATAAAACAGGAGGCCAAGAATCAGAACCTGGATCATCAAGCTCTTCTTTTGGCAAGAGGAGGAAAGAACGCCTAAAACTGGTATTTTTTGATTAAGAACTTAATATTCTAATTGCTAAACTTAAGTTCATAAGCTCATAGTCATCAGTTACTCCCTAATACATGCTAGACAAGTGTCAGTGCTGGTAGTGTTGTCTCTTACCAGGAAAAAACCTGGTGGATTAATTCCAAGTTTTCTTATGTTTCCTATGTCAACCTTGAACTTTAACATTCAACACTTCAACTATTCTCTTTGTAAAAATTACTTTAAAAAAATGCTATACTAGAAAAATTTTAAGTTTGAGTTGAGATAGTAAAGCTCTTTCTAATTACTCACTCTGTTTTTAGAGGTGATATTTTATTGGGAGGGGATTAAGCAGTTTCTACTTACTTTTTTGTAGTCATGAGGATGAAATTTAGAATTTTTTAATTCAATTCTTGTTTTAGTAAATATTCTTTTGCAAATTTTGGAGGATTGAGACTTGGATTAGCAAAAAAGCAATATGAATTTAAACACTTGAAGGCAACTTTAAAATTATATTTTGTTCAAAGATGTTTTAACTGTAAAATAATAAATATGGCTTATCACATACTGTGATTATTTTGACATACCTCTACATAATTCTGATGAAATAAGTTGCTGTACTTACCATAATGCAGAATTAATACTCACGTATAAAAGATCATCTTGTATCATCTGAAGACTAATGGCTTAGTTCTCTCCAAATTCCTGACTTTTTTTTTTAATTTGCAGATAAAGTAGGGGAGAATGTTGCTGAGTGCAAAAATAGATTTGGTGCTTTTTGCATAATGCTAAATTATTTTACTTGTGTGCTGAGGTGTGTTTTTTTGCAAACACTTGGAAATCCTCATATGAAATAAGCTGCAGAAATGCATTTTGTTGTTACTGCAGCTGCTCAACATGGTTTATGGATGGAGTATGGAAGAAATTAACCTGAAAAGGATATAAAATCTAGTCCAAAGAAGCAAGATGAACTTTGAACTTTCAAATAGTCCATCAGTTGGAATAAAAAAATACCCACACTGTAAAAAAAACATAGTAAAAAAAATATTTAGGGATATGGCCACTACCTCCATTAGTCTTGCAGTAAAACATTGATGTCTAAAAAATTTATTTGGGCTAGAACCTCAAAACTCTTATTTTGACTTGCCTTTAGATGCATTAGCAAATGAAGTGTGATGGTGAGGTCCAACGACAGCCTCTTTTCAAAGTAAACTGATTTGTTTAACAGGAATCATGATACTGGCTTACCAGGTTTCTTCTTATCTGCCACCATAGTGTGTTTTTCTTTTATGAAGGCTGAAAGCTAAATTATACGAATAAGCATATTAATAACTAAGAGTAATTATAAGTTAGAGAATTTATGAAAGAAAGAATCATCTAGTTAATATGCATATTCGTATAATTCAGTTTTGCAGCTCTGGAGGAACATTCTTTGACGTGAAGAGGAGGAACGGGGAGAATTCTTTACCGTGGTTCTTGGCTGGCAGATTGGACTGCTGCTTAACTGAGTAGAGATGGATACAATCTATTTGTGATTCCTTGTAAATATGCGATCTACAGGGTGAATGATTATCAGGTAAATACCTCTTGCTCAGATTTTCTTATTTTACGTTCTAAAGGACCAAATTTTCAGCATTGCGTTGATTTCCTTCAGCAGATGTTTTCAGTCTTGTAATCTGACTCTTTCTCTAAATGCCTTGGCACAGACATTTGTCACATCAGAGGTGGCTGTGGTGATAGTGGTGTTCTGAAATGTTTTCATTTTGATTCACATCTTTGTGAGGCACAGCAAAAAAAAGTTCAGGGGTAGAGGAGGTGACACCTCCCGGGCATCCCACTAGGATGATGAGCAGTCTGAAGTAACTGCCCAGCTAATCTGCAAAGTGAAGTTAGCACGCTGTCCATTTCAGAAACTCCATCTTGGATGTGAGAAACTTTACTGCAGCATCTTCCACTAGAACTTCCGTATTTTGGGGTCAAAAAGTCTTGACAGCCTTTCTTTTCTACGCTATAGAAACTGTGGGAACCCTTAGAATTACACCGCTAGTTTCTTTTGTTGTCCCCTGAATGCAGTTGACAGGCAACACCAAATCTATTTGCTGTAGTCTGAGATGCTACGTCCGAAATCCGAAGACATTTTGACTTTGTCAGTGTGTGCCATGATGACTGTGGCATTGAAGCAACGTTATTAATTGACCACTTAGAATCTCACTTCAGGAAAAAAAATAATAAAACCTTCAGGAAAAAAAAAATACTTGGTGTTGCGAATAGGGCAAAAAGTTCTAATTCTGAGTTAGAACCTTCAAACTTTTCATGGGTCAACCAGATCTTTTACTTTTATGAAGGAATCCCATCTGTTCTGGTCCCATGTGAGCTGCAGATTTCGCAGGCGTTACAGGGTATAATATGCAGTGCTTCTAAAACGAATGGTGACACCTCAGTCTGGAAGAGGTGGTAGCTCTTAACGATTTTGAGTGCAGGTGCCTCTATGAGACACAGGGAAACGGTTAAGCCTTATGGTTGACATAGTTAGCAAGGATAAGATTTATTGTTTAACTATCAAAGTATGTTAATTCTACATATTAGTGACTCTTTTTTTCTGCCTAACCTACTTTTTTTGCCAAAGTTTAATCACCCCTATACTTTCCGTTCTACCCACGGGTGTCTTGATGGAACAAGATTGTTTTCTGATTTTGCGGCAGCGTTTTATGTACTTGAGTATGAGTGTCATTTCCTTTTAGCCTTCTCTTTCTCCACATTACATGCCAATTTTTTCTCTTTTTCCCTGTAGTCCCTTTTATGCTTCTGACCATTCTTGTCGTGCTTTGTAGTCTGTCACGTTGACTCACATTTTTCTGAGACTGTGATGCCTATAATAGAACACAAGCCTCTAGCTGAGGCTGGTCTAGTGCTTAATAGGGAGGAATTAATTTCACATGTCTTAAGGCTAATGCTTCTGTTTATATATCTCAATATAATTGCCTTTTACAAGACAGAATAATACTAATTCAGGTTTTGGTCTCCTGCTGCCTCCGTATCTTTTTCTCTAATTATCTACCAGTGTGTGTTTGTATAACTGCTTATTCCTTATTAGTGTAGAACTTTGTTTATACTGAATTGCACAATGTTTTTTCCAGCCCATTCTTAGTTTTAAGGCCATCGAATTCTTAAGCTACCACCACAGTCTGTATCACTCTTACTAAATTCACAGATGTCACAAAAATAAGGATATGCTAATAGGAAATTTAGGGAAAATACACACCCCACAAATCCTTCTCAATATAGTCTTTCATTTTGTTAGTGAAACATTAACCCAGAACCCCTGAACCCAGTTTTGAAACAGATTGCTCTTCTGTTTTATAGAAGTTACTTTTACCCCGTGTTTTCCAAGTTCCTCTATGAAAACAAGACAAGCAAATAAATGACAAGGCAAGACAGACTCCACCATCAAATCATGCTTCTCCCAATTCTGTGAAGCCTGTTCCATCACCAAAACCAAGTGAACAGTTGAACACTGTTATTTCTTGAGTAAGAGTCAGTGTGACTTTGTGTATATTTTTTTCTTGTATGTGCTTAGCGGCAGTTCCTGTGATATGTTCCTGTATTTCTAGGTGTTAAGCTGATCAGTGTAACTCCCTGGTTCTCACAGAATCACAGAATGGACCAGGCTGGAAGGGACCTTAGAGGTCATCTAGTCCAACCTCCCTGCCATGGGCAGGGACGCCTCTCAACTAGACCAGGTTACTCAAGGCCTCATCCAACCTGGCCTTGAACACCTGCAGGGAGGGGGCATCCACAGCTTTTCTGGACAATTTATTCCAGAGTCTTGCCACCCTCGTACTGAAGAACTTTTTCCTAAGGTTCTCCTTTCCTCTCTTTTAGAAGACAGGGAGAGGTTGATTAGTACAGATGACGTGAAGGTTGTGCAGGGCGTAAACAGTAAGTGCATGCAGTTACCTTGGATCCATTAGGGTTTATAACTCTTGGCTGAGTAGCAGCGCTGAGGGCCTGAGGTGCTCCTGCTGAGCTTGAGACCTCTGAGAGCTCTACACTGTGTTCTCCTGTGTCCTGTTGCCACGGTGGGTTGTTAAACCAATGCTGGTGCAGAAGGTGCATGGATTTGCCTTAGTTTTGGCATCTGGTCCAAGGAAGTGTCCTTGTGAAACCTAGAGCACCTAGTTAGCCAAGCATGGATGCGTAAGAGGCTCACCTTGTTTTCGTAGCACTGTGCCTTAGCTAGCGATGGCAGGCACCAGTTTCATGTCTATGATTTTTTTCTTTCCTGGAAAATCTTTCCTGTTGCCTGCCTTCTGCTTCAGTCTTTGCAGTCACACTGCCATCGCAGTCTGCCGTTATTCTGAGAAGCAAGGCACAACCACCGTCCTGTGTTTCATGATGCTCTTAACCAGCTGCTCAGAATTCAGGTGACGTGCTGGCCGGGCATTTGTAGCTGTCTGCCTTCCTCGCCCTGTCACCTGTGTGCTGCTGTACCTGCTGGTGCCTACAGAAATAATTTGGAATAAGTGACACGTTGCAAGCTGGTAGAGCTTAAGGCAGTTAAGGTTCTGAACTAAGGTATTGCTTTAGGATGTACTGTTCTTAAAATACAATTTGGTGATGCAACTGAGCCGATACTGACTAAATGGAGGCTGCACTGAAAACTGTGGTCACACTTTCCCTGTGCTTCTTGTGTTCCTTCTCCTTCCCTTGTGCTGGCACTAGTGCTTACTCATCCAATGGTGAGCTAGTTTAGGATACTAATTTGGCAGAAAATGACTAATTCATGATGTTACTTGTGCCAGCTTAATTCCTAAACTTGCTCTATAGTAGAACAGATGAGTGCCATGGTGTGTGGAAAGGGAAGGGAGTAAAAAGGCTTCTTTCATCAGTTGTATGCAGCTAGATTTATTAAAACAAGTTTCAAGCATTTTAAATAACAGATATACAATACTTGTGTCTTCATTTGTGGGATTCATAGCTTGACAGGTGAAACTTCATGCTTTGATCTTCTTCATCTGCACTGAGAATTTCAGATGTTGTTGAAATAAGGCTGCTTGATTTGGAATCTCTATAGAAATCTTTAATTTTGTGGCTTGTAGACCTGATGGCTTTAATGTGTTCTGTTGTGCAGAACTTGTTTTTATTCCACTTGACGTGAAGCATTTTCTGGAATATATGAGTTTTATTTTCAGCCTTCTTCTATTGATTTCTACTTAGGGTTTCCTCTGGCGTTCAGGGGAGCACTTCCACTTTAGTAACCTGGTTTAGACAGAGAATGAAATTATCTAAGTGTATTTTTACACAAATATTTTATTACAAACCAGCTCTTTGTTTTCTAATTTATTAAGAAGTTTGTCTTAGATCAACTGAGAACCCTTAAATTTGCTGCTGCTTTAGTACATTCATTCTTTCGATTGTTTTTCCTACAGTCCTAAGTTTAAGTTTTGAGGCATATAACATGGTAGAGCACCCAGGTGGAGATGAAATCTGTGTGATTGAGCTTCTTGTACTGGAATCACCATCTTGGTCTGATAAGATTAACATATTTAAATGAAAACATATGTCTTGAATATTTGGAGTGAGAAAAGTAGGACTTAATATCTTCATCTGCTGAGATTTTTATTTAAAAAAATTGCAACAAAACATCAAGACCCCCCCTGTCTAAAGATGTTTCTTTAGTGACTTTAATTCACTAATTACCAAACTACTTATATTTATCTCCCACGTTAGATCTCTGCAGTTAGTGGGCAGCTCTTACTTTCCCTGAATCAAGGAAAGCAAAGAATCATTGATCTAGAAATATTATTTATGTATTAAAACTTTTCATTTAACGTCTCATAGGTCAATTTTATCCTTGGTTTCCAGCTCACTTATTTTGAGGCCATACTTCTGACACACTTAGAAGTGGTGTCACAAAGGCTTCTTACAGGAAGAACTTTGTGACCTGTAACATGCAGTGGTTTGCTCCAGGTTTACAATAGTAATTAGGTTTAGATGCTCATCCTCAAGTGGATGTCTTACACTGCCTTATTATTATATACAGTTGTAGGAAAAAGTTTACGAACCTTCTGGAATTTCATGGTGTTCTGCATTAATTTGTCATAAAATTAAATCTAACTGCCATCTAAGTCAAAAGTATTGACAAATATAATGTGCCTAAAATAATAACACAAAAACAATTCTGATCCTCCATGTCTTTAGTGAACACACTCATTCTGCATTCAAAATGGTGGGGGAAAAAGTAAGTGAACCCTTGGAATCGGTAACTGGTTGACCCCTTCCCTCCCCCCCTTGGCAGCAATAACCTCAAACAGGCACTTTCTGTAGCTGTGGAGCAGAGCTGCACATCATTTAGGAGGGATTTTATCCTGTTCTTCCTGGCAGAACTGCTTTAGCTCTGTCATATTCTCTGGAGGTGTCATGTGTATGGCTCTCTTCAAGTTATTCCATAGCATCTCTACTGGGTTGAGGTCTGGGCTCTGACTTGGCCACTCCAAAGGGTGGATTTTGTTTTTCTGAAGCCATTCTGTTGTGGACTTGCTCCAGTGTTTTGAGTCATTGTCCTGTTGCATCACCTAACACTACAGAGTTTCAGCTCGTGTACAGACATTCTCATATTATTCTTTTTTGATACACTTGGGAATTCATCTTCCCCTCGGTGACTGCAAATCAGGCCCAAATCATGATGTTTCCTCCATCATACTTTACAACTGGGATGATGTTTTCATGATGATATGCAGTGCCCTTTTTACACCAGATGTGGTGCTGCATGTTCTTTCCAAATAGTTCAATCTTTGTTTCATCAGTCCGCAAAACATTTTGCCAATACCACTGTGCAGTGTCAATGTGCTCTTTCGCAAACTTCAGACGTGCAGCAATGTTCTTTGTAGTAATCAGCGGCTTTCTTCGTGGTGTCCTGCCATAAAAAACACTGAACAAGCAGGGTGTCTATGTACTGTAGGATCCTGAACACAGATGTTAGCCAGTTCCAATGACAGAATCATAGAATCATGGACAAGACCTTCAAGATCATCAAGTTCAACCTTTTCCTAGTCCTATGAACACCACTAAACCATGTCCTTCAACACAACATCTACCCATTTCTTAAAACACCTCCAGGGGCAGTGACTCAACCACCTCCTTGGGCAGCCTGTTCCAATGCCTGACACCCCTTTCAAGAAAAGAAGTTCTTCCTCATATCCAACCTGAACCTCTCCTGGTGCAACTTAAGGCCATTTACCCTTGTCCTGTTACTGACCACTAGGGAGAACAGACCAGCTCCTGCCTTGCTACAACCTCCTTTCAGGCATTTGTAGAGAGCGATGAGGTCTCCCCTCAGTCTCCTCCAGGCTAAACAGCCCCAGATCCCTCAGCCGTTCCTCGTAAGAGATATGTTTGAAATCCTTTACCAGCTTGGTAGCCTGCCTCTGTACCCTCTCCAGCACTTCAGTGTCCCTCTTCTAGGGAGGGAAATGATGCCTTTTACTCTTTGGCTCATTGATGAGTCTTCATTGTGCGCTTGGGGTCATTTTGACTGGACACCCACTTGGTAGAGTAGCCACAGTCCCAAAGTGTCTCTGATTGTTTGCATAACTGTAGACTGGTGAATTTCTAAGGACTTTTAAATCACTTTGTAACCCTTCCCAGCTTTATGTAAATCAACAGTTCTTGACCGTAGGTCCTCTGAAAGCTCATTTTGGCGAGGCACGGCTCACATAAGAATAGATCTTGTGTGGAGCAAACTCAGAAAAGTTTGAGTGTTTTTTATCAGTCAACATAGCTCTAGTCCACACCTCCAAACTCATTTGCTTAACAAGACCCAAGGTTAACCTGACTTCGATTAGCTTTTCTGAGGTCAGCTCAAAGGTTCACTTACTTTTTCCACTAGTATTTTGATTGCTGAATGAGTGTGCTCAATAAAGATGTGGAGGATCAAAATTATTTTTATGTTATTATTTTAGGCACATTTGTCAATACTCTTGAACTAGATTAGGGTTAGATCACATTTTATGACAAATTAATGCAGAACACCATGAAATTCCAAAAGGTTCACATACATTTTCTTGCAACTGTATTATTTTGCATCCTAAGGATGATTGATTGCTGCACATTCCATATGTGACCAATTTACTGTTAAACACTTGATACTTTCTTTTTAAATCACAACATTTTAGTTATGAGTGAAAAATGAGTTGAACTGATGGCGTAGCTTGCTGTGGGAACTTTCTTGAAAGTACTAACTAAACAGTGTGTATCCCTTACCATTTATCTTCTTTTTATTTTTTTTATGTAATCATTATTTTATTTTTCCCCTGTAAATAACACATTTTGTTTCCTGGGTTCCTAATATGGCTCACTAATTAGCTTAATGGCAAAGCTCAGCTGATGTATCTTGGTATTTAGGGTAAATCTTTAAGGAATATTTTAGCTAGTGTTGCTCATTGGAGTCGGGTTGTAAAACCAAACAATCTTACATTGATGTGTTTTTATATGCTTTTATGAAGGCTTAAATACTAATTTTATTTTTTCTGTTTTAATTTAGGGTGCAATTTTCTTGGAAGGAATAACAGTTAAATGTGTGACCCAGGTGACAACACAACCAAAGTTAGGAGGAATACGACAAAAATGTCAGCAGTTCTGTGGATGGGAAGGGTATGATAACATTTAGAACTTGTTTATTTGTACTGTCTAGACATGTTACATTTCTAGTTTTGCAAAAGGAAACAGCTCATTGTGAAAATGAAAGAGGTGACAATTTTTGGATGAATTGTTTAATAAAAAAAAAGCAAGCTTCATGAGAGAAACAGGTGAGGATCTTTAATTGTACTATGAAACAGAATGGTTGGTTACTGATATTAAGAAACAAGGTTCTAGAACTGTTTTTCCATTGACATAACAAAATGTTTTCAGATTAATTGCAAATTCCAGATGTAGTCTATCCCAGGTATTTGTCTAAAATTTAGTACCTGCTTAAGGAGTAGTAGACTTGTATATATAATAGCTATTACACTTCAATACTAAGGTGTAATCTTTGGGTTTGGATTGTGTTTGGATTTGTGTATAATGTTAATGAGAACATTGATTTTTAGTTCTCGTTATGAACTCTTCCTTTCCAAAGCTGACAATTCGGGAAGTTGCTCACAGTGTTTCCTAACTTGCTGATGCTTATAATTCTTCTAGTAATTTTAAATTCAGATATCTTTTCCTGCAAAATTAAAAGCTGGATGTTCCACGTAATGTGTTTTGTCATAAACAGAAACCCGTGTTCTTACCAGATAGGCATTTGATTCCTCTTGTAAAATACCTTATTGGAGAAGATGTTCTAACTCAAAAGTTAAACCTCCAGCAAGTTTGGTACAAGGTGTGACTTCAGTCTAGAGTGAAAAATGCGTTGCCTTGTCTGACTGTATTGCAGACATTAATAAACATTGTTCTTTTTTTTAAGGTCTGGTTTTCCTGGGGCACAGCCTGTTTCCATGGACAAGCAGAATATTAAATTTTTGGAGCAGAAGCCATACAAAGTTAGCTGGAAAGCAGACGGCACTCGGTAAGTTCATTTTAAATGAAAAAGAACACCAGCAAATTGGGTAGACTTCTGTATTTTCTCAGGAAAGTGAATTCATTTGTACAGAGGACAAAGGGTATTCTAACAATAAGACTGACTGCAAAATTTAATTCTTTTTCTGTCTTGGTACCCAACATTTGCTGAAGTTTGGAGCCAAGTTTCTTTTTAGCAACTGTTCTGCAGACTCTTCTCCATAACCCTTGCCTGTTCTATCAACAAAGACTTGCTGACAAGGTCTTAGAATAAACTTGGACAACAAGAAGAGTTTATTAAGCTGAATATTTATAAAGATAAACTAAAACTTCTCATTGATGCTTCAGAAGCTGGCTAGTTAGGACTTTTTCTTTTTTTTCTACTGTGATCCTTTGTTCAAACTTGTAGTCCTGTTCAGCCAAAGAATCAGTTGTTTCATTTTGTTTTCAGCCAGCAATGTGCCCTCGTGGCCAAGAAGGCCGATGGCATCCTGGAGTGTATTAGAAAGGGAGTAGCTACTAGGTGGAGAGAGGTCCTCCTGCCCCTCTACTCTGCCCTGGTGAGGTCACATCTGGAATATTGTGTCCAGTTCTGGGCCCCTCAGCTCAAGAAGGACAGGGAACTGCTGGAGAGAGTCCAGCGCAGAGCCACAAAGATGATGAAGGGAGTGGAACATCTCCCTTCTGAGGAAAGGCTGAAGGAGCTGGGTCTCTTTATCTTGGAGAAGAGGAGGCTGAGGGGTGATCTCATTAATGTTTATAAATATGTGAATGGGGAGTGTCAGGAGGACGGAGCCAGGCTCTTCTCAGTGATGCCCAGTGACAGGACAAGGGGCAATGGATTCAAGTTGGACCATAGGAGGTTCCACAAAAACATTGGAAAAAAACTTTTTCCCTGTGAGGGTGACAGAGCACTGGCACAGGCTGCCCAGGGAGGTTGTGGATTCTCCTTCTCTGGAGACATTCAAAACCTGCCTGGACGCGTTCCTGTGTGACCTACTGTAGGTGATCCTGCTCTGGCAGGGGGATTGGACTAGATGATCTTTTGAGGTCCCTTCCAACCCCTGACATTCTGTGATTCTGCGTGATTCTGTGATTCATGGGGTTTTTTTTTGTGGTGTGATCCTTTGTTCAAACTTGTAGTGTTGTTCAGCCAAAGAATCAATAGTTTCATATTCCCTCACCAGTTCTCTTACATTCACTATAGGGATGACTTTTTTTATAACAGACTATAAGCTGATGGGATTGATGTGATGGACCTCTTACTTCTGGTTAGAAATGCATCCTTGTAGTTAGTTTCTCCAGCATTCTCATGTTAGCATTTCAAAGTAGGAGAAATGCCATACACTATCAAAGACAGAATGGCAAACAGCTTTTCTCTCTGATTCTAACTGGTTATAGATCGGTCTCGACTGCATGAAATTTAGTTGTTGAAACGTGTGCATCTGATATCATCAGGTATCCTTACATTATATTGTCTCATATGAAAAAAGCCATGTCACGGAGGATTTAGTGTGCCCAGGTGGCCAAGAAGGCCAACAGCATCCTGGCTTGTATCAGGAATAGTGTGGCCAGTAGGACCAGGGAAGTGATTTTACCCCTTTACTGGGCACTGGTGAGGCTACAGCTTGAGTACTGTGTCTGGTTTTGGGCCCCTCAGTATGCAAAAGACGTTGAGGTGCTGGAGCGTGTCCAAAGAAGGGCAACAACGCTGATGAAGAGCACGTGTGTTGTGAGGAGTGGCTGAGGGGAGCTGGAGTTGTTCACCCTGGAGAAAAGGAGTCTAAGGGGACACCTTATCACTCTCTACAACTCCCTGAAAGGAGATTGTAGTGAGGTTAGGTCGGTCTCTTCTCCCAGGTAACAAGCGACAGGACAAGAGGGAACGGGTTCAAGTTGCGCCAGGGGAAGTTTAGATTGGATATTAGGAAAAACTTCTTCGCTGAAGGGTTCTGAAGCACTGGAATGGGTTGCCAAGGGTGGTGGTGGAGTCACCATCCCTGGACGTGTTTAAAAAAGAGTTGGATGTGGCACTTCAGGAGCTGGTTTAGTGTTAGGGTGGTGTAGGGCTGTAGGTTGGACTTGATGATCTTAAGGTCCTTTCCAACCTTTACAATTCTATGATTCTAAACAAATCTTTATTGAGTAACATTCCAAACCTCCAAAATCATACGTATTTTCATAGGGCCCATTTTTTTAATAGGTTGGAACATGTGTGAAATTTTAGCCGTTTTTTGTGCTTTTGACGTCATCATCAATGAGGATTGATTCTCTAACCTTATGTTTTTCTTCAATATTTCTGATTTCAAAACTAAAATCAAGAATCCCAGATATTAATGGAAATGATTTAAACCCATGCTACTCCTAGCATTCAGATCACAATCTTCCTTTTTGTTATGGGCACTGTTGTGAAGTAATAAGCTCATAGTCAGTAGTGTCTCAATAACAGGAAGAATTTAAATCGTGTGACACAATTTCAGTAGCTTGATTTTTATTTCTGAAAGATGTTCTTTACATGCAGTAGTATTTAAGCATTTATAATCTGTGCTAAGTGCTTTTATTCAATCGAAGCAAATGAATAGATGTTTAACCTGCTTCGAATAGGTCAGAAAAAGTGCAATTACAATGACTGTACACACGGCAAAAGGAGGATTTTTTAAGCACATTTGGGCATGATGCTTTAGTGAAAGA